TTCTAGAGCCATCAATGAATCATTAGCACTAACTGAGGAAAATATAATTTCGCATGTGGCGAATATATGTAGAGTGTCGTACCAAGAAACACTCTGCGACGCGACGCGACGCGACACGACGCGACACGACGCGACGCGACACTAAGCAGGTCCATCCTACTTACTAAGATCCTGAGTACTGAGACAATACAAGTGTCATTTCATCGCCAAAATATGGCAAGAGAGACTCGTAAGTCAGGAACGGCCTGTATGGTTCAAAGTTGTGGTGTGACGGAGCACTGCTAAATGAATAGAACGCGTCTGATTACAGAGCTGACTAAATTTATCAATATTATATTTCTGGTCTACAGGTATACACATAGACACACATATATGCATGTATATGTAAAATTGCAGCCTTTTGCTAAAGCAATTCAAGCATTTGTTTTCACGCCGACTGGCACAATACGATAATACAAGAGAATATATTCACACGTTTGAACATAAATTCAAATGTGCAAAAGCTTCAACTAATTATTATCAATAATAAAAGACTTTGGTATTTTCATGATTTCGGAAAATCACTGCTGAGTGTTAAATATAAGCGAAGGAATGTTCCCACGGTCTCTCATGTTTGCTGTCTCGAGAAAAGCCCAATATTTAAAGAAGAGGGTTCTGGACATGAAATGTGTTTCATTTTTCTATACAAAGTTTTCGAAATAGTTTTTGCTTGGGTAAATATTTAGTGAGTTATGGTCGAGATAAGAGCCAAAATGCTTGTAAATCTTCGTGAGGAACTGTCCGTTTAAGCTGTGCTATTTTGGTCATAACTGGAATAAATCTACAAAATTTCACAAAAAAGACCCATTAGGGAATTCTCGAGTATTTTCTTGAGTACAGATTATGGAAGGAAAGAATGTAGCATAAGATCTGCAGGGTTGTTGCTCTTGGAAAAGAAAATTAATTCCAATAATATAATAAAGTCCTTTGTTTGCTATTATGCTAGCCTTCCTGTATGGACGAAAGCATTTGATGGAAAGTATTTATTTGTTTATTTACGGTTTACCAGAGTTCTTGGCTACAGATCCAGAGGTCCGAGTTCGATTCCCGGCCCTACCAGATTTTTTCTGAGAAGTAGTGGGTCTGGAACGGGGTCCACTCAGCCTCGTGAGGATTCTTGAGGAAATATTTCAAGGAAATAGCGGCTCCGGTCTAGAAAACTGAAATTAACGGCCGTGAGGATTCGTTGCGCTGACCACATCCGCAAAAGTTGGCACTAAACTTCGCCGACAAGCGGCGGTCGCTCAGTCGGTATGGTTCGCTTGCTAACTAAAATCACGGAGTTTTTTTTTTACTTAATGACGTTGATAATAGCCGAGTGTAGCATTACATTATAGTGCGGTTAGTGAATAATGAATTGGAAAGAAAGTGGTAGTAGCTTAATTTGTGGTGCTATCATTTTGTCAAAGAACCGACGTCCCATCACAGCGAAAAAGAAAATATAATAACTCTTCTGAAATGAAATTTCACGATGATATACATGTTAGCATTAAATTAATCATTAAGCTCTTAAGAAATGGAGGATTGTAACAATTTTTAGATATAATAATGAGTTACATAAGCAATTTGAAGAACCAAGCGTATCACATATTATTAAATAAAAAAAGATTGCAATGGGCAGGTCACGTCGAGCGTATGCATGAAAAACGAATATCGTAAAGAGTTCTGAAAAACAACATGCCTCTAGGAAACCCAAGGAAAAGACGGGTTAATGCAGTGGAAATAGAAAGCAGTGTGTAAGATTTGAGGTTTTCACGGCGATGACTATGAATAAAGCAGTCTTCTGGGATGTGGCGTCGTGTAGATATTGTGTTAACCGACGTTTCAGAGGAACGTATTGCCTACATCTTCAGGGTAGAAGATAAAACAGAAAATCTGCGAGCAAGGAACCAGCGTGAGCAGGTGCTAACAGACTAATACCTTCCTCCGAAACGTCGGTTAACACAATATCTACAAGGCGCCACATCCCAGAAGACTGCTTTCTTCAGACAGTAGAATGATTCTGAAAGTGAGAAACTGGAGAAGAGGATCCTGACAGCCAAATTTGGAGGCGCCATTTAAAGATCAAGGATCGACTCCGGATTCTAATCCCACAGAGAAAGAGAAGGAGGGAGAATAATTACGTTTCACTAATACTATTACGTAAAACAATTTACTCGTAGTTCTGTATAATATATTTGGTTCTTACGGCAGTGGTTATGAAGAGGGCTGAAGATGGAGATGACATAATCTCCCGAAACGTCATCTGGCCTTCATCGAACTACACGGCGTTTATCCCAAAAGATAGAACCCTTCAATTTTAATTCTATTGGCAGAAATGCGATTATGGTGCTGCATTTATGATAAGTTTGTCATTAGAATGCAGGAATTTTTTTGTGTAGTTGAATTTTGTATAACAGAATTAATTGTTATTTTCTAGATCTCACGTCTCACCCAGCCGAAATGTCAAGTGCCACCAGTGGAAAAGCGTACAATCGGTGGAGAAACACTGTCATGTCATATAGTGTATATTGCGATGGCTTCATGCCTAAGACACCTTAGTGCATCACTGCTTTAGCTGGAACCTCAGTTACCGTTAGTTTCCTAGTAACTGAGGCAAACGACAATTCTGGCTGTCATGTTTGAACACTGCCATTGTCGCTCGCTTTCTACACTCATGCTTCCGGTTACCCGAGTACTTATATTAAGAACATGATCACACTTGCTAACATTCTCCACGACCAGCTCCGCAAGTCCTCTTCCTGCGCTGTACAGGAGATATTGGGTTGCATTTGGAATTGTAACTCATAGCGCAGCGATTATACTCGTACAGCTTCTGATTGTCCCACACACCCTGTTTCCAAAGTGAAACATCTGTCAGTCTCGACATGTCTATGCAGAAAACAGAAAACCATTCGTCGAGCCTACAGGTTTCTTACCGGTGACCATAAACTTCACGTTTTAACTTTCGTAATAATTTTTCTCCTATAATTACTATTTTAAAAGTAATCATTTTAAGCAGCAGTCGAACAGGCAAGTCAAAACTCTTTTACCCTCTGAAGCCTTGAAGTTCATCTAAAATATAGCTCCTTACTTACTTACTTATGGAGCTAAGCCCTTCTTGAGGAAACGCCAAATCTGCAGCTACTCAAGAATTTCCCAGCATTTTATGGAACACGAAGGTTCATTGCCGTGTTCACAAGAGCCCTCCACTGGTCCCTATCCTGAGCCAGATCTATCCAATCCATACCATCCCATCCTATCTCTATAAGATCCATTTTAATATTGTCCACCCGCCTACGCCTTGATCTTCCCAGTGGCCTCTTTCCTTCTGGCTTTCCCACCAATATCCTATATGCATTCCTCGTCTCCCCCATTCGCGCTACACGCCCTGCCCACCGCATCCTCCTTGACTTGATAATTCTAATTATACTTGGAGAAGAGTACAAGTTATGAAGCTCCTCATTATTCAGTTTTCTCCAACCTCCTGTCACTTCATCCCTCTTTGGTCCAAATATTCTCATCAACACCATGTTCTAAAACACCCTCAGTCTATATTTCTCCCTTAATGTCAGAGACAAAGTTTCACACCCATACAGAACCACCGGCAAAATTATAGTTTTGAATATTCTAATTGTTATGTTTTTGGACGTTCTTCGTCACAGAAAATGCCCTTCATTGTTCTAGGCATCACTTGTCATGGCCACTTATGGAGATATATGTGTAAGAGGTCCACAGAGATGCTGCTATTACGGTACTGTTTAAATGAATCGTCCCGTGTAAATATACAGAAAATTATACTCGTATCTTTGTACTCGAGTATTTGCTGGAAATTTGTACCTTGGCAGTTAAATGCCACAGCTGCGTAACATACTCATTTCTTTGTTTGATTTCGACAAAAAAAATCATATGCATTGTTTCTACGGCTATCACTGAGAATCACCGGTAACAGTATCTGATCATCGCCTACACAAGGGCACTTCACATTAGACTTACAGCAAAACACTTACACGAGTAAGTCCTACGTCATGGCAATCATCAGCATCAGTGAAGGAATCAGTCATTGTATGGAAGCTGGGTAATTTATGTCATAATCATTAAACATGTTGGTGTGAGGAAAGTTTCAAGCGTCATTTATGTGCGATCATATGTTCAAGGAAACTAAATCCGCATGAGTTAGCATCATATATAAAACCAAATTGAATATAGCAACTGTTTAATACGTCATTAAAAGAAAGCGTTTACATTTTTACCAGGACAGTCTGCTGACTTCACCACAGAAGTTGAATTGGGCAAGTTTAACGTAGTCATATAGGCCACATCCTTACAAACACTAAGCTGGCGTATTGTGTCTGGTTCCTCATGTACCATGAAAAAATCACACTGACGCCTAATATTCATCTAAATGTTTCATAAAAATTCAGTTTCTACCTAACAGAAAACACACTGCATCTCCATTACGCCTAAAATGTCAGTCGGTTAATAATGTTTATGAAAATTATCAAATGTATTCTGGGAATAATATGAAATCCATAAACGCAAGCGGTTCATAGTTACTGTTGTGCTTTAAAGCATTAATAATTCTTAAGCTGTAGTGTTGCTTACTGTGCTTCAGTTAACTCACAAACTTTTGTGGAAAGGAATTGAACGAAAAACGACATTTCGTTCCCCGTTCTGCTAAGTTAGACCGAAACTAGCACAAGTGGGGATAGAACACCGAACTTATTTTCCTGTTGGTAACTATTTTATTGCTGTATGAAACAGAGCGCGGGCGAAAGAAGATACGAAGGTTAGTCAGTATGTACTACGCTCCCTCCCCCTCCAATCTTGTCACGTTGGCACATATTATCAGCCCAGGTCACTGCGGATCGACTGACAAGGGTAGTACACTTACATTGATTTACAGAATCATTAATGATCATTACTTAAGAATAATAAATTCCGGTGAAACTTAATAATGAAATATGTGTTGGCGGGCTTACCTTACAGACTAACTCCGCGTTCTCGTATCAGGAATAATGCCGATCAACAACCCGAGTATGTTATGCGCTCACTGACAGTGTTGGTACAGACAAAATAAATCGTGCAAGTGATCTAACGTCGTCGGACCAACGCTCTGTCACGTACAACACAACCGAACAACGTAACAACGTGCCAGCAATTGAATGCGGCTTACCGGCCCACTGCGACAACGCGGACCATCGATCCTAAGACAGGTTCGCTGGCCAGTCGCATAGGCACGCACACCTCCGCCCACCAGCCATCGCACGAGTTTATTCGGTCAGAGCGCGGCACAAGATTTTGACATTACTACAAGCATTGCCCCTCCCCCGTACGGCGAGGTGACTAAGCTACTGTAGTAGTACGGCCACTACATTCCACGTTAGGCTACTCTTGAAACCATGGGCAGACGGCAGGGGGTGAAGTCCCTGGGTATAATTGCACAACGTGCTCACAGCGGAGGACCTCGTGACCAGAGCAATTTCCGGATTATGTTGCAACATCATCGTCGCAGTGGAGCGAGTACAACTCTTGCTTCACATTCGAAAACTCGTGAGTTTAAATCTCGGCTCAGAAACTCTCTAATTCTTATCGAATTTTTCGACATTTTCCTCAGCTACTACACGCAAGTTCCGTGATAATACCACGATCTCTTCTCTCCGCTTATCATTCGATTAAATTATGCTGTCGATAGAGTCCTTAAAGAAGGTAAAGGTGTCCCTGTGCTTAACTAATTAGGCACTATTCCATGAAGGCGTATGGGGGGAGTCGATGTATAGATCCACATTTTCTTGACCTCGGCACTAGCTGGAGATGAGTAGTCAGCTTCACGCACCGGCCTATTTACCCCAGAGGAAAGTGGCCCCGGTACCCACTGGATAAGAGGTTGGGTGAACCCCCGAGCCGGCCTGGACGAAATAGAGAAGAAAATTCTGACCCCACCGGGACTCGAACTCCGACCCTTCGGTCGTCTAGCCCGTAGCTAGTCGCTATACTGACTACGCTATCCCAGCTCCTCCAACGTCCTTAAATAAAGTACACCGAAACTTGCCTAAAACGGAATCTGTATGAAACGTTCTTTAGCCTTTAACTGCCGGAAATTGTTCAACATGTAAACAGAAAAATGGTGTTAAGGGGAATGTAAAGATTTAAGCTGGGAAAAAGAAGAATGTTAGATTAATTTCGCGCTGTGGTTCCAGCAATTTACCCAGCAAGACTGATAAATCTGACTTACTTTAATAACACACTGCAGTGCCTGAATCCTTGCTACGCAACGTGTGTTGCTAGAGCGTCATCTAGTAAAACAGGAAACTAGTTCCTGGAGCCTAATTGCACCTGAATCACGACTGAACTCTTCCTCGTGGTAGCTCTATCGGAAAATCCCAAGTGTGCCGTAACGGAGAGACTACGATATGAATCCTCACAACCGTGGGGTCTTACAGGTCTACACGTAACGCTTCTATACTAAGTTGGAGGCAGTAGGTGTATGTCCCTCTGACACAACTACCCACCTACCTGTAAGCACAGTGTCATAATCCAGAAGACCACAAGACAGAGTGTTCTGGCCTTACCTAGTCGAACTAACGCGAGCGTAAACCTCAAATCTGGCTCAAAACTGTTCCCCTAGGATCAAGGCTAGGAAGAAAGGGTTTTACGAAACGGTGAAGAGAAAAGCGGAGCTGAAAACTAAAGACTTGGTGTGAATAGGTCCTAGAAGGGAATGCCTCACCTGCGTGACCTGCATTCTTGCAGCAGAAATCAGTACTGAATATTACTAATGAAAACCAAAGTCTGAATGCACATGAAGTGTTGGATATGTTATGATTTCTTAGCCCGCAGTACGTGAATGGAGTTTATTCACTCCAGTGTCTGTAGGGCTGCAATTCTGCATTGCCAGCCAGCGTGAGATTAGCAAAAGTTATCTGCGTGGTTCGTATTACAGATCACCCTATAGGGAGCTGGTATCTAGCGCTTTTAAAGAGCAGAGGCCTACATACTTCGTAAATAATCCTTAAATTTTACATTCTAATTTGGTTATACATTACAAGCAGAAGTATCCATTATTCGCCCGAGTTATGGCTGATCTCGTTTAACCATTAACGAAGAAATAACACTCAAGCAACTGAACATTACTTGAAGCTTTCACACTACAGTATACAAAGAAGACTTCTCGGGCGAAAATTCGCATTAATCTGTAGTTAACGTCCGCTTCTCACAAACTATCTCTGACTCTGTGTACGATTTGAGGTTTTCACGGCGGTGACTATGAAGAAAGAAGCCTTCTGGGATTTGGCATCGTGTATATGTGGTGTTAACCGACGTTTCGGAGGAACGTATCGCCTCCATCTTCAGGGTAGGAGGAAAATATAAGAAATCCGCAAGCGAAGAGACCGTGAGAACCGGTAAAAGCAGTCTGCTTATATTTTCCTTCTACCCTGAAGATGGAGGCGATACGTTCCTCCGAAACGTCGGTTAACACCACATATACACGATGCCAAATCCCAGAAGACTGCTTTCTTCATATCTCTGACTCCATCACCAAGGATTGATGCCGTAAATACTGCCACGTGCTAGTGATTGGACATGTGTTTTGGATTAGTAATTGGATTTATCGAACAGTTATAGCACGTAACTGCAGATAACTGTAGCCGTTTCGCGGACCTACACACTCTACAAATCAGTATTAGAGCATGATTAAAGTTTTCTGTTTGTTCACCGGCCAGTCTAGCTTGGTGTCAGACCCCCATCTGGGGCCCAAGACCAGATTTGAATTACTGTCAAACATTTGTGGGTTTGTTGATGTGGGGCACCCTCTCTGACGAAAGGACTAGTCTGTCGTTTACAACTGCTTCTGCCCCTCGCCAGTGAAGACATATTTACGGCCTATGAAGTATAGCTGCCATTCGGCTTCGTGAGTTTTAATATATTTTTTTGATGGCCGTTATTCGTCCCCATTGGCTCTGTCATGATCTGCTGAAATATCGTTGTGACTACTGTGAACATGTTCAGAACCGAACTTTTTGCATTAGGAGCCTGAACTAGCTGACCTGGTACTTGTAGGATGTACCTCAAGAGAGGGGGCACTCGTATGTCCCATTATGGCGGGGCAGGCCTGTGCAACTGAGGGCACCTGAGGTTGCTGCTGTTGCCGTGTGTTGCTGCGTAGCACTGCAGCGAAGAATAGCCCTGGGGTGGTGTGGCTGTAAGAGAGCATCCTTCCTGTTGTAGTCTTTGGCGCTCTCTGTGACTGCGTGAGATCACTCTAGGCTTTTTACACATCTACCCTGACAGCAGTATGGAAAATCTTCTCAGTTTGAATATTTCGTGGGACGGCCTAGGTAAGGTTATTGGGAACAGGTAATATTAACTGTGGTTCTTCCTTCTGCAAGTGACTGAGGCCAATAACACTAAAGACAACGTTCAGGAACCAATCTGAGATGTCCTCTGCAGGATTTTAGACTGGAAAATGCTGAATTCCAGCCTTAATAGGCTTCTGGGATTTGGGATAGAAGGGGAAGTACGAGAGGCTATTATTCTAAGAGTGAGATCGGATGGTTAAAAAATCCGTCACTTTTTTCTTGAGAACTCTGGCCCCATTTTTGGTGTCACAGAATTCAAATTTTCCTTTCAGTAAGCCCTTCAGTTGCCTTTGTAATTCTATCAGGTTTACTAAAGAGGTTAGTACAGTGGGAGCAGGGTTCTTTGCCTGGCTGGACGGCTTCTGATACTGCTGACGCTCGGTGGTGTCGTCCTCGTTTTTCTTCGTGGTCAGCCTCAAATTCAATCGACCTCAGTTGAGCGAAGAAGTTCCGACTGGAAACTTCAAGCTTCGATTGCAATTGTGGGTGCTTGACTCCCGTGAGGGGATCTTGTAGGCGTCTTGGCTTTTTTGTCGACGTCGTCTTCTTTGCTCTCTGAGTTCATCGATGGACGGAGGTGGAGTAATTGTGGTCTTGCCTGTTTTCCCTTTGGCAGCGATCTCTCTGAGGACCGCCGCCAAGTCGTGCAGCACCTCTGTGTACGCTCTATACAGGTGCCATACAACTGCTTTCCTTTATGAAGCTGATTGAAATTCCTCCTGGTGTCTGCCATGTTTTGGACGATTAGATTCCATTTCGGACCTTCGCAGACTGACAACAGGGATACAACCCGCTAGGCTGGCAATGGCGCTGAGTCCCCCACGTACACTTTCTGTGACAGCATCGGCGTCAGGATGTTGTTATGTGGTATTTTCGTATTCCAACCTAAGGGATTTAATCAGGTTTGACCAGAGCTTCTGAAATTCTGGGGTAGGTACATTACCCATGGCACGAGTTACCTCTACTATTATTATAACAGTTACTTATATAAAGGAGCCATAAAAAGCACTTAATCTGCACAGGCCCGGGGCCGGGGCGCAGGCTTCACTCACACTGTTTGCACCGAACAGGGCAAAAGAGTGTATTCATTACGTATAGCTTACTCAGATAACTCAGAGTAGAAACTTTCTGCTCTTCGTTTTTCTCACTAATTCTCACTGACTCGCTGAGTCACTTTGCTGAGCTAGCCTCCTGTTTGACTCCTCACTACAATCTCACTCACTCATTCTCTCCGACCTCTCACTGTTGCTCTGTTGCACCAGCTCTCCTCACATAGCCTCCTCCTCAGTCACTATGATACTCTGTACAAGGACGGCTCACAACATGGACCACATACAAAATACCATTTCCAACAATTCCTCCATTGTTGCGTCACGTGTTTATTGTCGCGGGAACTTGATAATCGAGACGTTGCCTAACAACAGCCGTCTCTCCTATCTAGACTATTCCGACACTCAAGTGTCATGTCACAATGCGATGGCAATGGCAGAGATGAGTTACCACGGATCAATCAGCCGACCCGTGTTATCTTGGCTTCGAGCCTTCTTTGGACCCGTACAGCAGACAAATTTCTGTTGCTTGGTACCTTCTCTCGGTGGAAAGATAGTTCCAGGGTGTAGAGGAACGCGAAGTGTGCTGCACGTACAGCAGGGTTGGCCCTTGCTTTCTCAAGAGGAGACCATAAACAGCTTTCATAATGTTGGCGAAGCAGTCGCCTTCCGTCTCTGCTTCTCATAGTCTCATAATAACGTGCTTTCACTATGGCTATGAGCGTCACAGTGTCCCCAGTACTGCTACATTGGCTGGCTTCGTTGTTTACAC